TAGGTATTGTCTTATAAGCAGCCTTTCCTATCCTTCAAACACAGGTGGAGGTGCCTTCTCTAAAGGAGTATGTGCCCTTTGTAAATTGAATAACCTTTAAAAATTATTTTTACTAAGTGTTAGAAATAATAACTGGCTTAGTTGTCTACTCTGAGGCTTTTTCAGTTCACCAAAATGTTATCAAACTAATAGTGTTTACCAATCAGATGTTTTCATCTTTACTGGAAATAAAGTGGAATAATGAAAAGTAAGCTGGTCTTCTGAAAGAGTTGAAAAACTCTGAAAAACTAGCTAATACAAAAAAAAAAAAAAAAAAATCCCCAGAGGCCAGGAAGGTAGACAGTTGAGAAAAAAAATAATGCTACATTAATGTAGCAACACGGTTCTATGCTCTCAACAACTCTTGATGGTTACAGGAAAGATCGCTTCCGTAACCCAGCTGAAACAACCAGACTCTCCAGCCTGTAACTAACAGAGCTTTGGAGCTAAGGTTACATTGATATAATTACTGAAAACATTACTAACAAGATAAGATACACAACTGAGTTAGTGAAAACACCAGTGGAAGTTGTATAATCCTCAGAAAGAGAACTGCAGCAATGGAGTGCTAACTGGCCTACACATTTCACAATCATGAGGTTTGCTTTTCATGTCAACAGAATCACCAGATTAATCCACTTCACTCAGCTACGTTATTTTCTAATGCTTGATATTATCATATCCCTAACAAAATATCCATCCTTATGATCAGCTATTAGCTGTAATATGTTTACTACACTTCAATGTGCTCTTTAGTCTTTTAGGTATTCAGGAAGCTGCAGTGTGTGTTGCTGCAATGGTTTATGAGTCAGCCTTTGAAGGAAAACCCAAGAAACTTTGCATCTTGGAACAAAGGACAACAAGATGGCATCGACTCCCATTCATCTAACTCCCATTCATTCCATTCAACTCTAAAGTAGAGGTCTTCTACCTTAGATGATTATTTCAATACTGGCTACTCCATAGCATATGTGAGAAAGAGATGCTTTTACAGGTGGGGGACAGGGACACAGGGAATGCTACATGGCATATAGAACTTAGTTTGACAGTAGAACTGGAATATTATTATTTATTTATTTATTTGTTTGTTTGTTTGTTTGTTTGTTTGTTTGTTTGATTTATATGCTGCCCTTCTCCGGAGACTCAGGGCAGCTTACAATGCTTTTAAGCAATAGCCTTCATATTTTTGTATATACCTGCTTAGTAGGGCTTTTTGCCCCCCCCCTCCCCAAGCGGTGTTCTATTTTATACAAAGTCAGCTTATTGCCCCCACTTTATTATTTATTCATTTATTTTATTTTATTCAATTTCTATACCGCCCTTCTCCTAGTGGACTCAGGGCGGTGCACAGCCAGAACTAAAACACATACCAATACAAAATTTAAAATTATTAAAAGAATTACATACTTTGGCCCAAATTTAAAACAATTTGAATTAAAACCCATTGACAGATTAAAACCTAAAAAACTAAAAAAAAAGGGGGGGGTTTCACGCCAGCCCTGCTTGATGGAAAAGAAAAGTTTTCAGGGCACGGCGAAAGACCCGGAGATCCGATATCCTTCTTATCTCCGGGGGCAAATCATTTCAGAGGGCAGGAGCTGCCACAGAGAAGGCCCTCCCCCTGGGGGTCGCCAGCCGACATTGCCTGGCTGACGGCACCCTGAGGAGTCCCTCTCTGTGGGAGCGTACTGGTCAGTGGGAGGCTATCGGCAGCAGAAGGTGGTCCCGCAAATACCCAGGTCCTATGCCATGGAGCGCTTTAAAGGTGGTAACCAACACCTTGAAGTGCACCCGGAAGACCACTGGAAGCCAATGCAGCTCACGCAGGAGAGGTGTCACATGGGAGCGCCCCCTCGCTCCCATAATCCCCCGCGCGGCCGCATTCTGCACCAGTTGGAGCCTCCGGGTACTCCTCAAGGGGAGCCCCATGTAGAGAGCATTGCACAAACCGGGTCCTCATTTTACCTACCTCGGAAGGATGGAAGGCTGAGTCAACCTTGAGCCTGGTGAGAATTGAACTCGCAGTAATTGTGGTCAGACAAGAAAATAAAGAAATGGATCATCAAACAATAGTAATAGCAATAGCATTTAGACTTATATACCACTTTACAGCACTTTATATTGCAATTTGGGTCCTCATTTTACCCACTTTGGAAGGATGGAAGGATGAGTTCTTAGTCAAGTCATGAATGACTAGGCTCAAATTATGCTACTCTAGACAATTACATAAGGTCTAGCTCTCTGGAGAAGACTCTGGTGCTAGGAAGGTAGAAAGAGAAGAGGATGAAGGGGATGGACTTAGTTACAGTAGTGAGGAGCTCGCTGTTGGAAGGACCAGGTTAGTAACAGATCATGATGGACAAAATATATCTACTGGTTACCAAGAGTCAAAACTGACCTAATGGCACATAATTAATACCCAGTAGAGTGCAATTTCCCACCCTTGTAACTTTCAATTCCCAGAATTCCCCAGTTGATATAGCCAATCATAGAATTCTGGGAATTGAAAAACGACTGATATAAAGCAAAAAAGCTCAGGGCAACTTAGGGGTATTAGCCAAGAGGATGTAGCTATTGTTCCCTCCATATTACTTGCTATTTGAAATGTTACCTCACTTAACTTGATGATCAATGACACCTATGATCTGATCTGCTAGCCATTTTAATATAAGGAATGGATGATCCTCCAAGCATTGCTAATATAGCTCGGATTACTCCTCCTCATTGGCTATCAGAACTAAAGCAAGAAGAATTGGAGTCCAACTACTACCAGATGTAATGGTATTTCTTACCTCTTTTAGATCAAAGTAGCTATAGTATTTATATACATATGCATACTGTACACGTACAGTATATATGTAGCAAATGACTCTTCTGTTTCTGAATGGAGAGGATAATCATTTCTCCCACAATGATTCTTTAAATTAAATTACATATTTTTTGTATTGGCCACCCTTCATTTCTCACCCCTCATTCCAATAATGATTATTTGAAGTTGGGCAGGGGTAGGTTTTAATAATATATAAAGTTTATCCATGCCTCTCCAAAACTTAATAAAACAGGAATGCATTAATTTCTAATTGTACAATGCTTTTAAACTTTTATTTCAAAAAGGCGTTGCAGAGCACAATGAAGCACAAATGAAGCAGCCAGATCTTTTCCCATTTCTACCTCATTTATACATACCGGCAATAGGAAATGCCAAACTACTTTTGTAAGCCAGCCAAGAAAAACAGAGAGAGATGATAAAATGCCCACTATCAGTTGAGCTTGACTTGAAAAGGATCTTACCTTTTGCACAGATTTGCCCTTTGCTTTTTTGGATCAAATCTTGATGACTTTTATGTGCAATAACTGAACAGCTTAGAACTTTCACCTCATAACCGTTCATCTCATAAATCAAAGTAAATAGTGCATTTATTTAACACAATCCTATATATTTGAACATATATGACGCACCTGTTTACTGTGAGTGATTTATATCTTTTAATTCCATGCAAAAAGTGGTTACTTGGCTTTAAGTATTTCCCCACACCCCAGAAGCAGAATAATTAATGAATGAAACAGACATTTTTATGCACATGAAACCTGGTGTTCTAACATTTATAGATTGAATTTGTAGGTAGCGTTCAACATTCTTCTGTTTTACATTTCACCCTCTATGTCTCTCTTTTCCTCATGATGCAAATATGGGCTTATAAAATGTGCCTGACAACAAATGGTACCCATTGACTTAGAAACAAAAGAGGCGTCTCCTAGGAAGTATAAATTATACTTGAAGCCCAACGCTATGACGACTTGAACTTCAGGCCTGCTACACAAAAGAAATCAGAGAAACCGACTAGGAAAGGAATATGCTATTTCATTTGACAGCTTCAACAGGAATTTTAAAGGCAGAAAATATCCAGTAGCCCAGGTCAAAACAAAGAAACAAACAAACTCTAGGTCAGGTGTTCCTGATGGACAGGTATAATGTTATACAATCCAGAAATCAGCCATTAAGGAAGTCATTTCTGGGAGGAGGGGGGGGAAGAAATCATTTTAATTGCTACGATGGAACAAGTTTAGCCTAATGAGGATACCTCTGGCAGGATTATTCCAGAAGATGCACTAGACTTTATACCAATGATTAAAGAGCCCCAGCCCAAAGTTTACATGCTGAGCTGCCTAATAATGAAAAGGGGTGGAGCCACTCCCAAATTCATATTTGGTGGAAGTCCCTTTTGTTTTCTCCTGGTTGTAGGGACACTTTGTAGATACAAAGAGATGCTTCCTTCCTTTTTTTCCCCCTCCTTCCCAGCTTGGCCCAGAGAAGGGCCACTAAAGCCGTCTCCTTCCCTTCCCTTCCCTTCCTCATCCAGGTCCTTGAGACTGGAATGGCAGCCTCTGCCTGCCTGGGCGTGCCACCTACAAATGGCGTCAGAATCAACCTGTCAGTTCCTGCCGTCCAGCCTTCCTCCCGCCGCCCGTTCCGGCCCACGTCCCCCCACAACCCTTTCCCCGGTTTATTGCTGAGGCTGCAGCGAAACGGGTGTTTACAGCAGGCGGGGTGTCGGGGGGGGGGGAGAGAGAAAGGTGGGGAAAACGATCCGCGGATCCCGGCTCGGCCAAGGGGAAGGCGCTGCACCGTATAGCATTTAGGGAATCGGCCACGGAAATCCCCTCCGTCGTTATCTGAGGGTTTTGGTCAGCTCGGAAGTCCGCCGTTTCGGCAGCCGAAACGGCAGGGCCGGCACAGACCCAGCGGCATTTCCCCTTAAAGCAGCCCCAGAATTAGCAGCACCGGGTAAGGCGAGCGAGCGAAGGAGCCGAGGCTGCCCTCCCTAGTTAGGGGCCGGGAACCAAAGCCGGGGCGGCGCGCCCGCAGCCATGGCTGAGGTTCGCTGCCTCGGCGCGGAAAAGGCGAAAGCTTGAATGGGGAAAGGGAGGCCGAGACCCTCGGAGGGAGGAGGAGGACTCACCCGCCGCGGTGCTTGTTGTCCATCCGCTTCTTCTGCCTGACCGGCTGCAAGGGGATGTTATCGGTCATGACCGCGGCAGCCGTGGCGAGGAGCGCCGGCGAGGGAGGAGCGCGAAACAGGTTCGGCTCGTCGCCAGCTTTCGCCTCGCCCGGCCCACACCCAGCCTCTCCGAGCTGGGAGGAGAGCGCGCCGCTGCCTGCCGAACTCGGGCGGGCTGGGGGCTGGGCGGCGGTGTCGCGCAGGTAACGTGGACTCTCACGCCGGCTCGCGCCGTCCCCTCCTCCCTCCCCTCCAGCCCACCGAGCCGGGTGTGGAAAATGGGCGAGGGCCGTTTGCTTGGTCGCCTCAGGCGGTGGTGCCTTTTCCTCATTCCTCGCGGAGGGGGACACCTCCCCGGCTGCGTCTCTTGCCGGTTTTATTACCCTCCCTCGTCGCAATATCTTCCCGCCACTCTGCTCTTAAGGCTTGTGGCGGCTCTGGCCCAGGAATTTCGAGTGGCCTTTCAAGACTCTGGACTCCGTGGACATCATTCCTCCTTGCTTAAATCCCTCTCTCGCCTTCCTTTCGGGTGCGCTGCCTGGTGCTTTCAGAGGAGACGTTGCTTCTCTTCGCTAACCTACCCTCTCAGAGAGCTCTTGACCGGCTCTCCTCGCCCTTACATACGTTCAGATCTCCCGTGGAGAAAGCTTAATATACAGCCCAAGATATTTGTTTGAACGATTCGGTTCACACGCACCGATTTATTTATTGGTTTGCAGTCCCAGTGTATATGAGAGCATATACACCAAAGACAAATTCCCTGTGTGTCCAATCACACTTGACCAATAAAGAATTCTATTCTATTCTATTCTATTCTATTCTATTCTATTCTATTCTATTCTATTCTATTCTATTCTAACCATGAATTTTGAGGGCTAGATCATAGGATATAGCATTGAGATAACCTTGCTGATAATGAATAAGCTAATTAGAGTTGGGATTGATTATATTTACATAGGAAATCAATGATAAATCCCAGCACTGTACCAGTATCTATTTATTGCTAAGATTTGTATACACACTTTTGTTTTGCCAACAAAAGTGCGCATATAGTCAAGGCTATGATTTTCCCAGTTGCAATGTATGGCTGTGAAAGTTGGACCATAAGAAAGGCTGAGCGCCAAAGAATGGAGGCCTTTGAACTATGGTGCTGGAGTAGATTGCTTGTTAAAAGGCCAGATCCTGAAGATGAAACTCAAATACTTTGGCCACCTAATGAGAAGCAAGGACTCACTGGAGAAGAGCCTAATACTGAGAAAGATTGAAGTCAAAAGAAGAAGGGGACGGCAGAGAACCGGGTGGCTGGATGGAGTCACTGAAGCAGTAGGCGTGAGCTTAAATGGACTCTGGGGGATGGTAGAGGATGGAGGCCTGGAGGAATGTTGTCCATGGGGTCGCAATGGATTGGACATGACTTTGCGACTAACAACAGTAACAACAAGATTTGTGTACTGTTTCAGTCATAATGGTTCTTAGAGGCCTAGTTCCCATCCAGTAAACATAACAACATATAATACTGGTAATATAATTGCCAAATCAATACTTCAATAAATATCCAGTAACCATTTGTAATCCAACCATCTCCCCTGGTTTACCAGGAACAGCAACTTCGTAATTAATGCCCTGCATTGTTCAATCATCGAAGGCTTTGCAGAAAGGCTCCAAAATGTTTGGGATAAACTAGGAAATCATTTTTAAAAAAGCATCTAGGAAGAATGCAATGAGGATCATTATGAAGAGTCTCAGAATGTCTAAGCCTGTCTTGCCATAGCTTCACTATTAGAAAAAATACTGGGATAAAATTCATAGAAAAGTAGCAAAATGGAAACAATGGTTCACTAAAAATCTCAGACTTGCCATTAAACACTTAGATGATCTTCCAGATATCTGGAACAATGTTCTATGGGCAGGTCAACCTGAAGTAGAACTTATGAGGGTACATTGATGTTATGTTTGCCAAAACCATTATTCATAATAAGAACCTCATTCCAAATATCAACATGGAGGTAGAGATATCATGACTGGAGAACACTTTCCTACATGGGATCTGGACAAGTTAGCATCCTTGAAGAAGCAGTATAAAGGCCATCTGCCCCTGTGCTGAAGCAAAAGTGGTCATGCAGCAAGATTGTTGATTATTTGCCATTAGGTTCATGTAGATAGGCCTTCTGTCAAATGATCTGTTTCTAACTGGTTACTTCACGATTCCCCAAGGTCAATCCATCAACACTAATTGAATAAACCTAAAAGGCAGGCAATATCTACCATGTCAGTATTTTCATTGTCAGTTTTAGATTGGCTGCTGAATAAGTCGTCATTAGTTTGGTTTTCTTTATATTTAATCTTTTTTTACTATGCCTTTTGACTTTCATTACTAGAGGATGTAGATCATTTACATTTTCAGAGTACTATCATAAATTTTCCAGCAATTTTCTTCTTGCAATTTTAAAACCATTTGCTTCCAATCCAGCCTGTTTCAATATACTGTATATTCTGTTAAATAAATAAAGTGAGAATATACAGTCTTGTCTCACTAGAAGTCTGGAGCCAGTGTGTTTGGCCATGTTTGGTCTGGTTGTGACTTCTTATCCGATAGATAGATAGATAGATAGATAGATAGATAGATAGATAGATAGATAATGATCTAGATCCATCTATCTATCATCTATAAGACATTTGAAAGTTTGATTTGTTCTTCAAAGGCCCTTCTATAATCAACATATGGATTTATTTTTGGTGTTATTTGGTTTTCTTTATTATTTAGCATATTTTTGGCTTTGTGTTCTCCCTACTTCCTACACTACATTTCTTTCTGGTCTTCCCGTTCCCAATATTTCTCAAGCATAAGTGTAGGTTTTTCTCAGAAGAATGGTCCTTCCATACATGTACAGTACAAAGTGTACTGTACTACTCAACGAATTATGTCCCTCCCTTTTGATCATGCTGGCTGGGGTTTATGGGAATCAAACTGTAACACATAGAAAACAAATTCAACTCCTGTCCTTCAAGAAACACGATCCAATGTTTTTCTTTATGGCCAATAAATATAGTAATATTTCAAAAGTGTGGCAGAAACCATGTGCTGCAATTGCCATATTTCCTCGTTGTCTGTGCTGCATAGGATTAATGTGAAGTCTAAAACATCCAGAAGGCACCAATTAGACAGTACCTATTATACCCCCCACCCAATTTCTCTGCCTTGGTTGCATAATCTTAGGGAAATGGTTTTGAGAAGTCTTAAGTCTAAGAATCAGCATAAAATGTAGCAATACAGGATGAGTTTGTGTTTTGGCCATATCAGTTTGGAATTTGGGAAGTTATATCAGTGAGGATATAACTTGTTGGCAAAAGTCAGTTGATGCATGCATGAAATTAAGACATAGAATGTTGCAACAGCAGAACTGACAGTCCCACTTTTAATTCTAGAACGTTAATACAGTTATTGTAAAACTGTGCTTGCATGTTAGAAATGCAAAGGGGGAAAAACACCTCCTTGAGAAAAAGTCTGGCCTGGCTGACAGCTAACTTCTGTCTTACACAAATTTTATTCTTTATGCAAAGAACTGTTAAAATGGAAATTCTCATTTGTAGCCCTGAAGATGATTTCAAATGGAGGTATTTCATTATTATCAATGCAAAGACACCCTGGGACTAGTCCCTCTTTTCCTCCATTATACATTTTGTTCTGGTAAGGAAAAAGGTGTGGGAAAATATGGAAGGATTCCAGATGAGAGACAGTTTTGTCTTGATGCTCCATAACTTTTGGCTAATTATGAAGCAGTATGTTAAAATAAAAGCCCTCTCTGAAACTGTTTGCATTTCATTTTGTTACAAAAAAGTAAAAGTTTCTTACACAACAAGTTTTGAATGTTTCCATTCTGTAACCTCTCAGAAACCAGTTTAAAGCTAATATTCAATAGTTTTATTAATATAGAGCCAGAAAATTGCTAGCTTAATTCTTGAAATGATCCCATATAAAGCAGGCAGGCCCAGCCTGTATTTGGGACAGTGTAAGGAGTACATATAAGGGAAATTCAAGCTTTGGATGGGCATTTTATCATGTACATGCACCATTTACTGCTTGAAAATAAACATCTCATTGTCTCATTGTTAACTGGACAAAATGGCCCATTGTTGGGCAACATTTTTAAACCAAGGTATGTCAAATAGGTTAACTTACAGAATGTGTCCAAAATCTGGAACCCATGACTCCCAAGAGAATGAAATTTGGCTGCTACTGCTGCTGTGGTCATGTGATCTTCATTTTCGACATCCAGTTTCAAAATCCCTCATGCTCTCACCCATACAGCAATAGCCATTTACTTTGTGCTGTGTGGATGAGAGCACACAGTGAATGGAAGATTCCTGATACTCCTTGCCAGATTCCCATAAGGAAACTCAATGCGGAAGCTGGCAAGAAGTTAGAAATTGCTCTTAACAGAATAACAGAGTTGGAAGGGGCCTTCAAAGTCTTCCAATCCAACCCCAGCTCAATCAGGAGACTATTTTAGACAAATGGCTGTCTAGTCTCTTCTTAAAAGCCTCCAAAGTTGGAACACCCATAACTTCTGAAGGCAAACTGTCCACTGATTGATTGATCTTATTGTCAAGAAATTTCTCCTTAGTTCTAGGTTGCTTCTCCCTTTGTTCATCCATTGCTTCTCTTGCTTTCTGGTGCTTTGAAAAATAGATTGATCGCCTCTTCTTTGTGGCAGCCCCTCAAATATTAGAACACCGCTATCATGTGACTCCTAGTTCTTCTTTTCACTAGACTAGATATACCAATTCCTGCAACTGTTCTTCATATGTTTTATCCTTTAAAACCTTCCCTTCTTGAAATGATCCCATATAAAGCGGGCAGGCCCAGCCTGTATTTGGGACAGTGTAAGGAGTACATATAAGGGAAACTCATGCTCATCCAATCGTCTGTCTCTCTCTTTCTAGAGTCTCAACAACTTTTTTTATATTGTGGTGACCAAAATTGGATGCAGCCTGAAAGAAGGCATGACTATTTTAGTGGTCTGATAAGAGATCATTTCTGCTGCACATTTCAAAGGATTTGGTTGGCCCTCCTCTTCATTACTACTAAAAACTTGTTCAATCCTCCACTCCTGAGCAGGCTAATTCACAAACTGCTTGCAATTCTGAGAAACAAACTACATCCCAATCATGTCCTTAATCCACAGACTCAGCCTTATTTTGCCCATCCCGTCCTAAAATAGAGACCAGCTATGAAGACATGTAAGAGCCAGTTGTTTGCCCACTTTAAACAAAAGCATTAAATTGTTGGACAGAATGTGCATTACATAAATTGAAATGCAAGTAACAAGTCTGGGTACCCAGACTGGAATTATGAACAGTACAACAGTGTTGTGCATGCTTTTAATCTACACGTGGCACATTTATCTCATCTCTGTATCCAAACCCGGGCAAATGTACTGCAAATAATTGCTTAATTAATTGCTCGTATACTGCAATAAGCCATAATCACCTTTGATCTGATCTGGTGGGATGGCTTTATTTTTTTCTCATCTCTCCCCTTTCTAGTACAAGGTGGTAGCAGTTATTTAATAAAACCCTTCAAAAAACTGTCAGTATTTGCAAACAAGCTATAATGGCTTACATGGTCACTGGCTTTTATAAAAAGGCTATAAGGCATATCTTATATATTACTGTGTTGTATGGACTTTGGAAAATAACCCCAAGATTAGCAGGAATTTGGGAGGACACATTCACCCCAATAGAAGTTGTGGGAGATGGTTGGAGACAGAAAGTTCTTCCGTAGACTTGGATAACATTTTGTTTTGGTATAGTAACATTCAAGTCAAATGTCCTCTAAAAAGTAAGGCTGGAAGTTTTTGCTTCCAGCTGTCACAGGAAAAAGAAGTCTTTTACGATATTCATTTCTGGTCAATGCTAGAGTTTATTCTATTAGTTTCACATACTGTTCCACATCCAGTCACTTGGTAATAGCTTGTCCTCTATTCGTCAAGGCACAGAAGTTTATTTACATTTTATTAAGGACTATGCCAAGTTTCTCCAAGGTAGTCTTCCTTTTTCACTGACTCTTTCCAAAAACATCCTACAAATGGGTCTAGGAGGCTTTTTAAAGCTTGTTTTTGGCAGAGATGAATAATTCTGAGGGAAAGGAATTCCTTCTTTCATTTAAAATGGAAAATGTGTATTTTTGTATGTCTCTGGATTAGAAAGACTGAAGGTAAGAGAACAATCTGAAGTTGAATTTCTTTAAGAGAACTATAGCTGGCTTCAGGGCTTGGAGTTATGATTTTGTAGAAATGCCTGATCTGCAGTTTGGGAGCCCTCTTCGATCCAGCACTGATGCTGGATAACCTGATGGCATTAGTGTGTTAATAGTGGCTTTTATCAAGGTTGGCTGATTGGCATCAGTGTGATACAAGCTGGTTATCTCAATCTGTTGACAACCTGACCTAGAATGGGGAAGCTGTAGTGATAAATAGGGTCTCACATCACCCTTTGTAATGCTTTGCAGCAGCATCATACCACAAAGCTTGAAGATGCCTGCACAAACACATCATGGCCGAAATGTCACCCTCCTCCCATACTTGTGTCCCAAGCAGAGGTGGTATTCAGCTGATTCTGGAGAGCTGGTAGCGGAAATTTTGAGTAGTTTGGAGAACTGGCAAATACCACCTCTGACTGGCCCTGCCCCCATCTATTCGCTGCCTCCCTAGTCCCAGCTGATCGGAGTCTCAGCTGATTGGCTGAGTCTTCTTTTGTTGCCCTGCACACGGAGCTGGAAAGCAGGTTAGTGGGGTGGGGAGGGAATGGAGATTTTACAGTATCCTTCCCCTGGAGTGGGGTGGAAGTGGAGATTTTGCATTATCCTTCCCCCTGCCTTGCCCACCAAGCCACGCCCACAGAACCGTTAATAAAATTTTTTGAATGCCACCACTGGTCCCAAGTATGTAAATTGTGGCATTTGCATAATAATGTAGTCATGCATTTTGTCATCATTCCTCTGCTGAAACTTTCAAACACAACTCAAGACTCTCATTATGATGGGATAAAGCTTTAATAGCTTGGGACCAAACTCTTTCCAAGACTCTGTATGCCTGGAAAGTCCCTCCCATGTTGCTAGACCTTATTGAATTATCTTTGCAGTTTCTGCCAGGGATTCATTGAACATCAAGAGCCAATTGTGCCTTTTCATGGTGGGACCTAGGTTGTGTTTTGAGCCTGTCCTTTCCTTGTGTTACACTTTAGTAGGAAGCTTTTACAGTTGTAATGCCTTGTAAATTGTAAGACATTTGTAATGCCTTTTACATGTTTTGAGTTTTGATTATATTTATATTGGATATAAATATTTGTAAACCACATAAAGCAAAACAAACATTTAATTTAAAAAAAATGCAATAGAAGTTTCTCTAGTGAATTGAATACGGTCATGTAGCGAAAATGAAGGTTTGGCTGCATCATGTGAAAAAATTATCAGAGATTTATTCTCATATCAACAGAAAATGCATCAGTAGATAGTCCAAATAAACAAACAAAATATAATCCTACGCAGAATTGCTTAAATTGTCCAAACATTCACAATGCAGAAAGAGAGATTATTCTCGGGATGCACCTTTGGCATGTTCCACGTAACAAGATCCATTTTACAGTGTAAACAGTTTGTGTTCTTACTTTACAAAGTCCAGGTGGAAAGGCACAACTTGGCAAAAACTGATCCTAAGCAAATTATAATAATTAAAAAATATATATAACTGGAGACATACACACATACAATAGTTCAGGTGCAACCACATTGGTGTTTTTTCTTTTCTTTTTTTTTTTTAGAAAAAATATTATTATACATCCACATTGTTTCATAGACCTTCTGCATGAGCGAAGCTGGACTTTGATGTTGGAAAAAGCCACATTTTCATTCAAGTTCTCTTAATCTCCAAATCTTTGTTCAGTTTTTCCAATGCAGCTAACACACAGGCAGATCCTGCTGATGAAGAGAGAATGGAGGTGTCTGGACTAAAAACAACTCCCCCCCCTCCATGAAACACACCTCTAAACATCTTCAACTATCCCTACAAGCATATCTTATTTTGGCGTGAAATAGTGCACAGTAGTTTCTGTCTGGATCTCAAGTTCGACACAGTGGTTATTGTCTAGAAAAATAGAACTTAACACTACCATAAACAAATTAATAATAAAAAATAATAATAATGAGGTAGATAACTTAGAATCCAGAAGACCATTCCAGTAACCTTCATACAGTACAAATGCCACATTGGGATTTTTTTTTTCCAGGCTTTCTCCCCTAAGAACTACAAATAGATAAAAGTCCAAAGAAAATGTAGGACTGCCCCCAAAGTCTCCTCTTCTGGCAAAATAGAAATGACTCAGTCTTGCTGTATGAGAAGTCGAAACTCGCATATGTCTTCGCTGGATTGCAGCCCCTGAATTGCTAAAGTGGAAATGTTGTCTCTCACACACAACAAAGACAGATGAAACACCTACTTCATTTTAAATACAGATTTAGGCAGACTCCCTTACATAAAGTGGAGGTGAGGGATAGTGGCAGAGAAAGAGCAAACTTGTGGGGAAGATTTCCATTCACTAAGTAATCTGCTTCCAAAGTCATCACCTGAGAATCTGAAGAGAAATGGCAGAAACAGCAAAAACTCAAGTCTTGCTAGGATTGGATTTCCCTTCAACAGTATGCCTCTGTCTGCATATTGGGATGGGTAGGAGGAAAGCAACACAGAGCCACGGAAGAGTCAGCTTTTTTGGCACTGTAGGTGGTGCATGTACAATGATGTAGTCTTTAAATAAGCAGCAGTAATCGATACAGAGCATTTAAGGTGTACAATGGCCAACAATGTGCCTGTTTAAACATTCAGTTTTGGGTTTTTTAAAACAGGGTTCTGTGTATATCAGATCCTGACGTCCAACAGGCATCGTAACACTATTACATTCAAAACCGCATCGAATGAAAAACAAACAAAACGAACGAAAAAGGGAACATGGCATTCTAGGATATTTTACCCGCATAATTACTTTCCACGTTATCAGTCACGAATTCCATGAGTGCCATTTCCTCTCCTCGCTCCAAAATATCAAGAGAGACTCGCTTCTTATTCTGCTCAAATCTCCCCAATGGTTTCTACTTAAGCCATCTCAACAAAAACAAGTAAGCAAACAAAAAAGGAAAAAAAAATGAGGTAAATGTTATAACCTTTGGAATTTCACATTGTAAAACATCGAAGGTTTTTTTACAGGTTGATGTTTCCCACGTAAGAAGAATCTTGCAAGACCCGCATAGAAAAAGGGAGGATCCTAAACTGGCTTCATTTTTGTTTTGCGCAAAACACGGACATGATTGTACTCTGGGCAACTCTTCCATAGACAGCCTTAGAATCATTTGCACGTCAATAAGAAAATAAGGATACTTGCGGTGTCATCTCTTAAAAATATATAGATATATATATGTATATTCCGATAGTGATTTTTTTAAAAAATCCATCCTGCCACCTTTCAAGCTTTCTGGTTTTTCAATTAACAGCAATTTTGTTCTCTTCTATGAAGTGAGGGAATTGGTGTTTTGGCACATTGTCTTCAGCACTGCTGCTCGGCTTCTCCATCTCTGAGCCAATCAGAGCCTGGGAACTATCCATCTTGGAAACGGTGGCAGAATTCATTGTTACATTGATTGCTGGACTTCCCCCAATGGTGTTTGGAAGAGAACGGATGCCTCCACTTTGGATCACAGAGATCTCATTGGTTTTCATGGCTAAGCCATTACTGAGCACTGCAGCATACTGGTTCCATGCCGATTGATCAAGGTTCACCGAAGGGCTCACTGCATCTTTAGGGAACATTTCTGATACCTTCTTTGAATCATTGCCAAGCAAAGCCATCGGGTTATCAATGGACAGTCTTCTTCCACGTCTGGCAGAATTGTTCCACATGTGAGTTCCAACATGGACCTTATGGAGAAGAATGTCAACATTAGGCTTCTGTGGGTGTGAATCTGGGCAAAATTGGAAGAACTAAAACTAAAACAAATGGATATGCAAGATTCAAATCCTTGCTCAGGGCCAGTGGCTACCATGACCTCTTGAATAAAACTCCCTCTCTCAATTTCTACCGTTCCAGAGTTTTATTCTGGAGAGAAATGTATCTGGTAAGCAACTAATGGCCCCGAGTCTGGTTTGAACTCTGCAATTCAGACCTCTGGTGATAGCTAACTGTCTCTTACACAATTGAAAAAAGAGTATACCCACCCACTTCTGCCTCTGTCTGGCCTCATCCCTTGGTAGCTTGTAGCCCTACTATCACATACTCTTATCCATTATTCAAGGACATGTAACATGTAATCTCCATGGGAGGAAAAATGTTGCCTGTCCCTGACATGTATCTCGTCCCATGTGTTCTTTAATTGCAGGTATGTAATTAAAGAGAAAGGAGGCGCTGGCATGAGTCCATCACAAGGAAGATGTCTATGGAGATTCTCAGTCATCCAGGTCATGGTTGTCCTAAAGGTGCTTTTTCAAGAGGCAACTGGACTTTCTGGTTTTTCTTTGAAGACGTTTCACTTGTCATCCAAGAAGAGCTGAAGAAGCATCTTGGATGAGAAGCGAAACATCTCCAAAGAAAAACCAGAAAACCAGAACCAGTTGCCTCTTGAAAAAGCACCTTTGGGATCATGAAGAGGAGAAACAAGTAATGAGAATGTCTATGGAGATTCTCAAGTCATCCAGGTCATGGTTGTCCCAAAGGTGATTTTTTTCATAAGACAACTGGACTTTCTGGTTTTTCTTTGAAGACGTTTTGCTTCTCATCCAAGAAGCTTCTTCAGGAAGAAGTATAAATCCTTCCATTCTTTACCATCCAGTCAGAGCTGAAGAAGCTTCTTGGATGAGAAGCAAAACGTCTTCAAAAACCAGAAAGTCCAGTTGCCTCTTTAAAAGAGCACTTTTGGGAAGAGATGAGAACATCTCAGGAATATGGGATGTCATCCTGTAATAACTGCAACAACCTAAGGCCGATTTATTTATTTATTTATTTTATTTATTTTATTATATTTCTATACCGCCCTTCTCCTGCGGGACTCAGGGCGGTGTACAGCCAGGATAAAACGTAACATATAAAATTTAAAAACAATTTAAAAAACAAATAATTTTGGCCCGAAATTAAAACAACCCAATTAAAACCGAAATTCGATTAAAAACTAAGAGGGTGGGATCAAGCCAGCCCAGCTAGATGGAACAAGTGTGTCTTCAGGGCCCGACGAAAAATCCGGAGGTCTGATATTGTGCATATCTCAGGGGGCAGGTCATTCCAGAGGGCAGGCGCTGCCATAGAGAAGGTTCTCCCCCTGGGGGTCGCCAGCCGGCACTGCCTGGCTGACGGCACCCTGAGGAGGCCCTCTCTGTGTGAGCGAACTGGTCGGTGGGAGGCTATCGGCGGCAGAAGGCGGTCTCGCAAATACCCCGGCCCTAAGCCATGGAGCGCTTTAAAGGTGGTCACCAACACCTTGAAGCGCACCCGGAAGACCACAGGAAGCCAGTGCAGCTCGCGCAGGAGAGGTGTTATATGTGAGCACCCCGTCGCTCCCATAATCCCCCGCACGGCCGCGATAATGAAGAAGGAGCTGAACATACGTATGCTATCGTTGCCTTCAAATTGCTCACCTTGAGATTCCCCTTGGTGGTAAAAGCTCTTCCACAGATGGTGCACGCAAACGGCTTTTCCCCCGTGTGAGTCCGCTCGTGGATCTGAAGAGCACTTGCCGAAGAGAAGTTCTTACCACACGTAGTGCAGAGATGCTGCTTAGCTGTACGGCGATGGGGTGGCACCAGTAGAGGAGGCACACTGGGTGATAATACAGGAGGGGCAATAAAATGGCTGGTGCTGATGGGGCGATCACTAGACATCTCCATTTTTATGAGAGCCGGTGGTGCCCTGATAAATGATGGGTGAATGCTGCTCCGGCCTGAAGAACAAAAAGATAAAATGTCTATTGATGTATTGCTTATACATAAAAATTAATAAAAATTATCCAAGCCCAATTTTATTATTCAAAGCAAATAACTGACTGAATATGAACAAGCCAAACCCAGAGTAGAAAAGACCTGATGGAGATGAAAATAATTAGGAACTTGTGGGTGAAGATTTGAGGTGTATGTAGATTAATCCTTGATGTACACAATTGGAACCAGAACTTCCATCGCTAAACCATGTAGCCGTTAAATGAGTCACACCCAATTTACACCCAACTGTTTTGCTGCAGTTGCTAAACAAATCACATGGTTGTTAAATGAATCTGGCTTTCCCTGTACCGACTTTGCTTGTCAGAAGTTGCAAATGGCAATGGTGAGACCCCAGGATGATGCAAATATATGCAGATTGCCAAATACTCAGGTTTTGATCAGATGCAAAAGTGCAAAGGTTTGTCAGAAGTCCCTTTTTTTCCCAGGGTCATCGTAACTTTGAACAGTTGTTAAATGAATTGTAAATTGAGGACTACCTGTATAATTTGACAGTACGGGATATGCACTTATCCCAGCAAAGCCCTTCAATGGAACAGGTTGCTGATATGATGTCAAACCCTGAGAAGCTGGCATCTTTTCTCCTTTCCCCAAGGTCATCCAGACATTCCACTACTCTCATCCCTTAGTTGCCCCAATGCACTTTAGATGGGGCTTCCCTTGAAAATAACTCAAAGGCCTTAGTTGGCTCATAATACAGCAGTGGGAGGCATTTATGGGCATGCCTCGGTATGGCCATCTGATATCTTTGTTCTGTAAGCCACACTGGTTGCCAGTCTGCTTCTGGAGTGAAATTCAAGATGCTGGTTACAACCTATAAAGTCTATGTCAGGGTTTCAAGTAATGTACCCATAGCAAACAGGACTCTGAGGCAGGTAAATTACTCAAAGAACAGTTTTATTTGGAGACATCATATTGGCACAGACTGGTGAAAACCAACTCTGAGAGTTCCCGCGGTTTTCACCTAATTAAAAAGTGAAAGTTTCCCTTTTCCCCCAAACAATAAGTCACATTGTCCAATCTAGGTGCTAGCCAGTTGCTAGGTAACATCACTCCTCCTCGCTTCAGCCACCTGTGTTGGAACGTCCTTGGTTCCCAGGAGAAACTATTTTGTTTTGGTTACAAAACCTCAACTATCTCTATTTCCCTCCCTCCCTATCCTTCGGCTCCAGTGTGGCAACACTGAAGTCTCAAAAATGACCTCCGTCAGGCCGGCTTCAGAGTTGACAGTCTTTGTGGCATAGGAACGGGTTATAGGTAGTCCTCGACTCATGACCACAACTGAGCCACAAATTTCTGTCGTTATGTGAGACATTTGTTTAAGTGAGTTTTACCCCATTTTAGGAACTTCCTTGCCACATTTGTTAAGTGAATCACGGCAGTGGATAAGTTAGTAACACACTTGTTAAGTGAATCTGGCTTCCCCGTGACTTTGCTGGTCAGAAGGTTGCAAGATGGGAATCACACGACCTTGGGACACAGCAATGGCCATAAGTATGAACCAATTGCCAAAGCATCTGAATCTTGATCGCATGAACATGGGGATGCTGCAAAGGTTGCAGCTGTGAAAAATGGTCATAAGTCACTCTTTTCAGTACCGTTGTAACTTTGAACGGTCACTAAATGAATTGTTAAGTCAAGGACCACTTGTACTTGAGGAATTGCCTCTCTCCCATGGATTCTACCCAATTGGCATATGCCACCAGAGTTGGCATACTGGGGGTGCTTTCAATTAAACAATGTCATCTATCAGAACTCAAGAAGTCTTTGGAAAGGAGATCCCACCTCCCTGAAATCCATGTGGCTCCCACCTTCTCAAGTGTTCTATAACAGGGTCTCCAACCTTGACAACTTTAAGCCTGGAGGACTTCAACTCCCAGAATTCCCCAGCCCAGCTTTGCTTTGCTGGCTAGAGAATTCTGGGAGTTGAAGTTCTCCAGGCTTAAAGTTGCCAAGGTTAGAGACCCTTGTTCTACAAAGCCCTGAAGACTGGGCTCTTCTCCCAGACCTTGGATTAAGACAGATGGAGTCCCAGGTTTGTTATTGCTGTGTCTGTATATTTTGCTTTGATGTCATCTTGTTTGGGTGTCGTATTCATTTTTATATTACTTTGTGAGTCAGTAGGAGTTGGCCAGTGTCCAAACGGAATTAAATACACTATGCTAAACGACACTGTATACTGGCAAGTTTGCCCTTCCATTTAATTCCAGTTAAGTATTTATTTATTTATCTATGTATCAAATTTATACAGATGCCCATGTACTGCTCTGGGCAGTACACAACGATAAAACAGCCAATATAAAAATGGATGAAAATGTAAAAAAAGCCACATTAATGAGCCTAAAGGCAAAAATATCATTAAAGTAAACCATAGGCGAAGGGAGGATAAAAATGCTGTCCCAGCAATGGAGCCATTGAGACAAATCTCTGGTACCCTGGGAGCCTCAGGCCTGGCAGCATAACTAGGTCTTGAGGCTTTAAAAAAAAAAAAAAAGCAATGGGAGTAATCTAATTTAATCTAATTTTCCATAAGGTGGGTGTCACAGCAGAGAAAGTACCTCTCTCAGGGACCCACCAAATGTAGGTCATAACTGAAGATACCCACAAATATAAATCAGGCAGGTTTTTAAAAGCTGAACAATATTTCTCAATAGACCACAGTAGCCTAATTTTTTTTTCTGAACCCATCTTTCCTCCAAACCAAGAAAGCCATAATTCATATTTCACATGGCTGGGTTCGTACAGGGCACTTAACTCAGTCATCTGAATGCTAGCCAGGATTTGGGCAAGGACTCGGGAGGCCCCAGCCAGCCAGCCAGCCATGAATTTCCATGACCTCAGCATAATAGATGGTAAACTAAATTGCTCAATTTTACAATTATTGTTGTTGTTAGTTGCGAAGTTGTGTCCAACCCATCGCGACCCCATGAACAATGTTCCTCCAGGCCTTCCTGTCTTCTACCATCCCCTAGAGTCTATTTAAGCTCATGCCTACTGCTTCAGTGACTCCATCCAGCCACCTCATTCTCTGTCGTCCCGTTCTTCTTTTGCCCTCAATCTTCCCCAGCATTAGGCTCTTCTCCAGGGAGTCCTTCCTTCTCATTAGGTGGCCAAAGTATTTGAGTTTCATCTTCAGAATTTGGCCTTCTAAAGAGCAGTCAGGGTTGATCTCCTCTAGGACTGACCGGTTTGATCGCCTTGTAGTCCAAGGGACTCACAGGAGTCTTCTCCAGCACCATAGTTCAAAGGTCTCCATTCTTTGGCGCTCAGCCTTTCTTATGGTCCAACTTTCACAGCCATACATGGCAAGTGGGAAAACCATAGCCTTGACGATATGCACTTTTGTTGGCAGGGTGATGTCTCTGCTTTTTACAACTATAATTTTGGCCAATTTTTTTTCCCTGATTGGAATTCACACAAACCATTTCAGCTGTTCAAGAAAAGCTTGCGAAAGATTGGTGGGGGGGGAGAGTGTGGCAGGAAAAAATAAACTGAGATAATAATTTGAAATGATTTGTCATTTTTAAATTAGTGGACTCTCTCTCACGAGAGAAACATCTCTTATGTTACTTGGAAGCACCTAATCGAATCTGACCATTTGATCTGAATCAGTGAACTTACTCAGAAAAATCAGTTCTAATGGAAATTCAAACTTTGAATCAAATCTTAACACAACTCTAGTTCACACATCCTGCTAAGTCATAGTTTGCTTGATTATAGTTAGTTGAACAGATACTTTTGACTGGATTCATTAACAATAAGTTATAAACCACATCTACCAATCCATAATCGTTAAGTTCGCACTTTGGTCTAAGCCAAAACCAAACAAACCTCATCATGGCTTAACATGCTATATGAACCCAGTCACTGTTTACACTGAAGAACATGTATTTTCCAGATATGTGTATTAGCTACCAAGCAAACTGTACAAGTTAGAGGAAAGAAGAATAGCTAGATATCCTATTTTACAGAGGACAATTTTCTGTTGGCAGGGCTGTTATTCTTTATGTCAAGGGCTGCCTGCCAGCTAAGTCTAGTTAAAGAGAGAACAGCAAGACTCTTAAAATTCACCATCAACATTTAGCAGCCAAATGCCAGATGCAACTGGTGAACAGATCAACATCTTCTTCAGCCTGGCGTGAAACATTAGAACATGGTGTATAAATTAGAGCCCATACAATTCTGCTTTTGTTCTTTTGGGGTAGGTGCATTTCCTTTTTTTGGTGACGCATAAAGAGCTCTCCTTCAGAAACAAGAGTCCTACTTTGATTTATAATTCTGTATCATTTAGTGTGAGAAGCCAGCCTTCAACAGGATGTTGTTTGGATAATGTGATCACAGCTCCCATCCCATCAAGAAAAATCGGAGTTAAATAATTCAAAACAGCGATATGATGCCATGTTGAGTTGCAGTACTTTCCCACTTGTTCCAAAGCCATGAGTTATATTTTAAGCTATTTTAAGTAATCAGATATAAAAGAAAACTAGAAATAAAGAGTTTTCTTGCCTAGGAAACAAATTCACATTTACCTGTCATCCATAAAGTGAATTCTGCATTATACTTTGTCTAGCTACGCTGACTTCAGATTTAATATTGCTGCTCCTGAAAATCATGGCAGAGAACACAAGGGAAGGAAGGGAACAATACAGTCATGCAAACAAGATAGGTACCGATTACAATCTCACCTCTTTGGTGAGAGCTATGGAGTTGTTCCTAGGCTTCAACTGATTTTGATCAGATAGGTAGGTGTCATTTTTCACAGTCAATATTCCTCAAAAATTAGGTACTAGAGAAAAATATGGCCGACGATGAATGGAACTCAGATTTATGAAGTAAAATTTTCTGATCTGGGAGATTGGCTGTCCTAGCATAGACTACAAACATTTAACTCCCTCCATGTATTAAAAAGAAAATCAATTTCACAGTAATTGCTAGGATTTTTGCTTCCTTTTAAAGTGACTCACCATATTCTCCATTTTGGAAGTATAACCCAGGTTCCTCTTTGATCACTTTTCGACTAATATTGCCATATGTTAGATCCAAAGCCCGTTCTCTTTCTGTAGGTGTGACTTCAGGGCCTTCAGCCTTACTTCCCACTATTCCGTCTTCTTGGATACTAAAACACGGTGACTTTGATCTGGTGCTCTCTGCTTGACTGTTGGTTGGAGACATGGCCAGGAAGGAAGTCGATTCAGAGGTGATGGGGCTACGGCTACCGTTTTGATAGTCCAGATCACCTGCCACCGAGGAAGAATCATTGGTCATGCCATCGCTCTCTGCAGATCCATTATCACTCGACTTCAAACTGCTCTGTCGCTGCAAAGTCAGAGCCGAATTCACCATCTTCATATGGTTTTCTAGCGCTGAAATACTGGCAGAAACAGATGTTGACGGATCAGCTTGAGTGTTGCAAGATTTAGAAGAGTGGTTTGGGCCGTGGGGTGATTCCAAATCTTCATCCATTTCCATGCTTTCGTTGATCTCTAAGCAACAGGGATCTCCGTTGTTCTCAGCTGAAGTAGCCTCCGTGTCGTTATTATCATGGGTGTTTTCTGCCACTGGGGTATTGGGAATCTGCCCTCCCATATGCATGCGAATGTGCTGCTGTAGCACCACTGCATTTGTAAATTTCTTTTGGCAGATGGGACAGGAGTGCTGCATCTTCAGGGGAGTATTTGCCCGGTGCACGCCATAGTGTGTTTTGAGGTTGCCTTTGGTGGAAAAAGCACGGCCACAAATCTTGCACTTGAAGGGCCTCTCTCCCGTGTGAGTGCGGTAATGCATTTTGAGGGAGCTCTGGCAACTGAGCACTCTATGACAGATCAAGCACTCATTGGGGTCAGTGGTGGCTTTGTCAATGTTCTCCACCAGCTGCTGGAGCTTTGTTGTTTCAGAGCCTTGCTCACCAATCCGGCATCCGTGGAAAGCGCTCCCACTGCAGCCAGCCTGCGGAGAGCTCTGGTTCTGCTCGGCTCCCGATTCATGACTGGCCGGACCTGATGAAGACTCTCCTTCACTTTCTGGAGAAGGCCTAGGCTGGGCATCACTTAGAAGTGTATTGGTAAAAGGATCCTTGCTACTTGTGGGGTTGGAAGTGTTTGGTGGTGGCAAGGACGAGCTTACGGAGCCAGGCATGGTGGTCAAAATAGGTTTGGAATCCACAATGAGATTAGATTCATCTAGTGGGACAGACATGCCATAAGGGATGCCGGTGCTGGTGGGCACATTATCTAGGTGTTCAGGCACAGGATAAGGATTCATTTTGATATGAGGGTATTTGTCTTTATGTCGCTGGAAATGCACTTTCAGATTGCCTTTGGTGGTGAAACGATTGCCACAAATGTTGCACTTGTAGGGCCTCTCCCCGGTGTGGGAACGGAGGTGGATCTGCAGAGCACTGTCATTGCCAAAGACTTTGCCGCAAAACTTGCACTTATGTTTGAAGAAGGACTCCTCCTGGCTTGGTTTACTTTCAGGGACGCTCACATTTGCTACTTTCCCTTTCCCCTTCTTTGAGGGGTCGCTGGCTGGGGAGACAGTGGAAAGGGGATTCTGGAAAATGGCTGAGCTGGAGGATTGAGGTAGCAAAGGGCTCAGGAAGCGAGACATGGAACTTGGCAAGCTTCGACCCACATCAGGCTTCAAGGAAAGGGCAGGAGCGAGCCCACCGGCCACCGAGACGGCTGTCGGAATAGCGATATTCGAATGAGGTAGTTTGCCTTGCTTCAAGGATTCGAGGGATAGGCTTGGATTCCCAGCTTTCTGTCCAATTAAAGCAACAGCAGCCGACAGCTGCTGGGACATATGAGCCCCCAAAGCTTTGAGGGGTTCTGCAGCAGCAGTGGAGGGGTGTAGGACATGTGGGGCCATCATGGCAATTTGGATGCGGATCTGCTCCGTCAACTGGAGTTGTTGGAGTTGCTGCTGCTGTAGGCACATCAACTGCTCCAGGATCATCGGGATGGCACTGAGGCCAGCCACGGAGGGAGGGAGAGACTCTGAGGTACACTGGTTGACAGCTACTTTAGTGCCATGTATAGTTTGCAAAGTCACATTAGTGTTTGGTACTTTGGGTTTGGGGAGAAAGCTTAGCCCTTGAGTTGCGGAGGCAACGGAGGGCTCTGTTTTTAGATATGTCACTCCTGAAGGTTCAGATCCAGCTTTCTCTTCTCTCTTTTCTGCCAAAGCTGGGGAGCTCTTTATGTGACTCTCCTCAGCCAACCTACCATCCATTTGGCTGGTTGGAAAAGTCTCCACAGAGCTGTCAGGGAAGGCTTCTAAGGGCACTGCCCCTTCACTGTCATTCATGATGAGGACAGGTGGTGTTTTAGTGCAATTTTTCTTATGCTCGAGGAGTTCGGTGAGGTCAAAGAACTCAGCACAGCATTTCTCACAGACATGGGTTTCTTCGGTCCGACATCTTTTGGCATTCATTTCACCTCTGTCACCTGGGGTATCCTGTGAACTTCCTGGAAAGACATCAGAAAGAGAGAAAAGATCTTAGTGGAATGACACTACGGACCAGAAAAGCAAGGTCAATGGGATGAGCTTGCAGCAGGAGTCTCCAACGTTGGCAACTTTAAGACTTGTGGACTTTAACTTCTAGAATTCCTCAGCCAGTCATGACTGGCTGAGGAATTCTGGGAGTTGAAATCCACGAGTCTTAAAGTTGCCACAGTTGGAGAACCCTGGCTTCCATGATTGAAATACACAGGAATATTCAAATCCAAATCTTTATTATCAGTGCTCAACATATGTACAATGAGATTGGTTGAGCTCCCTCAGTGCACCCCCATAACACAATACAACTCACAGTGAAGACAAAAAATCCCTAACCCAATAAATCATATTAACAAAACACCTAGTCCTATTGCACCAGTGTGAACATGTTACACATTGCGCCGGCCCTGCAGTCCATCATACTACGTAGTTATGATGAATAGGGACAGTCTTTGACCAGTCTCTATGCCTGCTATAGTTTAAAGCAATTTGTGAATTATCCTAGGACAGGAGTCTCCAAATTTGGCAATTTTTAAAACTTGTGGACCCCAAATCTTCATGGCTGGCTGAGGAATTCTGGGAGTTGAAGTCCACAAATCTTTGCCAAGTTTGGAGACCCCTGTCCTAGGGCAAAGACAAAGTTGGTGAATCAAAGATGGGTGACTTGCTTTCCAGGTCACCATTGGCTGCACACCATTTTGATTTCCCAGTGTTTGGATCTATAGGTGGTTCTTGACTTGCAACCATTTGTTCAGTGAAGTTACAAGAGCACTGAAAAAAGTGACTATAACCGGTTTTCACAAGTATGAGCATTGCTGCATCCTCATGGTCACATGATCAAAATTTGGATAATTTATAACAGTTGCCCTATCCCAGGGTCATGTGATCACCATTTGTAACCTTTTTGGTCAGTTTCTGACAAGCAATTAACGGGGGAAGCCACTCGCTTAACAACATGATTCACTTAACAACTGTAGTGATCTGCTTAACAACTGTGGCAAAAAGGTCATAAAATGAGGAGCAACTCACTTAACAACTGTCTCGCTTAGCAACAGAAATTTTAAGCTGAATTGTGGTTGTAAGCTGAGGACTAACTGTGGTACTACTTTTCAAGTAGCTACGTGCTCAGGAGAACTGCTATGATGGTGTTTACCAATTGGAACATTTCCAGATTTATTGGGATTGTAGAAATTCCCATTAGCCTGGATAGGCTCCTCCAGCTGGGAATTCTGAAGCTTGCCCTCCATTGTTTCTGTTAAGATCAGGTGGAGGAAGGGTGACTTTTGAGCAGCAGCAGCAACTGTTAAAATATTATTAGTTTTAGGAAACCTTGTGAGTCTGCATAAATAAATTAGAAAATCCTTGCAAATAGCCCTATGGATGTCATCACCATTTTCCAACCTTGAATGGGCTTAAATTCAGATGTTAAGTGGCAAAGATCCCAAATCACTCAAGCTTCCCCAAATTCTTTTGCTGATATCACTACCTGACCACTGAACCCCCAAGTCACTGCTTGGTCACGCTGTCCAACCAAGGTGCTGGTCGGTTGCTTGGTTACTTCACTCCTCCTCTGGCCAGGCACCTGTCAGAATGTCCTTGGTTCCCACAGGAAAACTTTTTTTGCTTTGGCTACAAAACCCCATCTAGCTATTTCCCCCCCCTCCCTGTCCCTTTTGCTTTGTGGCAACCCTGAAGCCTCAAAGATGGCCTCAGCCAGGTTCACTTCAAGGTTGGCACTATTATTTATTTCAATTATGTGGCATACAAATAAAACAATATTGTGGGAAGCGCTTCTACAGCTAGCGCTTCTAGCTGTAGTGTACTTTCTACTTCTGCAAAAAGAGAGGGACATGTCTCCAGTGGTTTAACAACTGGTTCGGTGATCGTGTGCTTTGCGCACGAATGCTTCGCAATTGAACGAAAAATCACCTTCCGTGTTAGTATTAGTGCTAGGGAATTAAAACAGCCGAGGCACGGCAATCCACTCTGACGCACTAATCAGCTGTGAAGATATAGCAGGGGTGAAATCTACTTACCTTCCCTACCGGTTTGGAAGTGCACATGTGCGAGCGGACCCTCTGCATATGCGCAAACTGTTCTGCGCATGCGCAGAGGGTAAAAAACAGGTCACTTCCTGATTCAAACCAGGAAGTAACGATGACTGGGTGGGTGGGCAGAACCTCACACTGCCATCGCTACCAGTTCTCAGAACCACCCACCACCATTGCTACCGGTTTGGCTGAACCGGTCCGAACCGGTAGCATTTCACGCCAGGTAAGTAAAGTACTTATAGGTAAGAAAAGCGCAGGGGTGGGCGGGTCGGCCCAACTGATCTTTGGAGCTCCTGGTTCGCCTGAACTAGTCCGAACCGGTAGAATCCCACCCCTGCATGTATCCACATCAGAAATCCTGGAAACCGTATTGCTTTGTCATGTTATATGTGCTAAGAAACCCATAGTAAGACTCTGCAATAATGTCACCGAGCTAGTTTTTTCTTTGAAGGCTCCCCCGTGTGGCAAAATTAATATTTTCATTATCAGGGAAAGGCTGAAAAATCCGTTCTCAAACTGATAGAATGGTTACCACAGGGGGAAATGCTCATAAGAAAGGATGGCTGGGTGAAAGTGTAAATAGGCTGATATCTTGAGCTGGGTTGACATTGGAAGGGCTGAAAGAACACTATATACCTGTGTTTCCCCGAAAATAAGGCCCTGTCTTATATTTTTTTGAACCCCGAAATAAGCGCTTGGCCTTATTTTCAGGGAGGTCTTATTATTTTGGGGCACGTGGAGCAAGATGGGGCTCCTCTTGCCGTCTTACCTGATTTCCAGCTCTGCATTTAAATATTTTCGAGGAGGGCTTATTTTCCGGGGGAGGCTAATTTTAGCGCATGTGCTCAAAAGCCCGATTGGGCTTATTATCAGGGGATGTCTTATTTTTGGGGAAACAGGGTAGATGGTGCTCAACTTACAGCCATTTGTTTAGTGACTGTTCGAAGTTAAAACTGCACTAAAAAAACGTGATTTACAACCAGTCCTATCACTTACAACTGTTGCAGCCTTCCCCCAGTTATGTGCTCAGGGGCTTGTCAACCGACATGTATTTATTAGGGTTGCAGCATCCTGGAGTCACGTTGATCACCATTTGTGACCTCCCTAGCTGGCTTCTGACAAGCAAGGGGAATGTGGGAATCCGGATTTGCTTAATGGTTGAAGGAGTCTTTTAAATGCAGTGATTTGCTTAATGACCATGGCAAAAAAAAAAAAAACTCATAAAATTGGGTGCAACTCACTCAACAACTGCCTTGTTGGGCAATGGGGGGGAAACTCAGGGAGGACACCTTAAGATGTGGGGAAGGCAAATGGCTTAGGACCTGGTTATTTACGGGACCGCCTGCTACCACCAATAGCCTCCCACCGGCCAGTACGCTCCCATAGAGAGGGGCTCCTCCGGGTGCCGTCGGCCAAACAATGTCGGCTGTCGGCCCCTAGGGGGAGAGCCTTCTCTGTGGGGGCACCTACGATTTGGAACGAGCTCCCCCCGGAGATACGTAGGATCCCGGATCTGCGCACCTTCCGCCGCGCGCTTAAGACCTTTCTATTTTATCAAGCTGGCCTGGCCTAAATCTTCCCCCTTTTTAAATGTGGAAATTTTAAATTTTTAAGTTTTAAATTCGTCTTTTTATAGGGGTATGGGTAAGGCATTTTAAATTGGGGAGCCATTTTAGATTTAATTCTGTTTTAAACGTATTTTAATTGTTTATATTGTATGTTTTTAACTTTGGCTGTTCACCGCCCCGAGTCCTTCGGGAGAGGGGGCGGTATAAAAATCTAATAAATAAATAAATAAATAAATAAATAAATGAAACAGAGTGTTTTGCACCTTAAATGCAACACTTTGTGCAGCAGTATTTTCTTTCTGATACCAGAACTGTAATGACTAGTAGTAGCAAACACATAATGCAAGACAATGAGCTACGCAATGCTAACCGCAGCAGACCCTCCCAAAGATAATTATACGTTTGTGTTTATTTGGGTCTTTCTCATCTTATCTAGATACAGGCTCCTTTCCTCATTCTCAGTTGTATTTTGGTTTGTTTGTTTGTGAGAAAGGTGAAACTGAGAAACCGAAGTAAGCTGGTTGAGATGTAGAGTGTGTGAATTCGTTCTTTAGTCTCATTTGGCTTGCAAAACACAGCACCATTATTTTGGCAACTGAAAGTGTTGCCTTCAGCCTTGGAAGAATTGCTTATCGTATTTTTCGGAGTATAAGATGCACCTTTTTCCCCCCAAAAAAGAGGGTGAAAATTTGGGTGCGTCTTATACTCCGAATGTAGCCCCGCCCAGCTTCTCAAATGGAGGTTTCAGAGGCTGAAAAAAGCATCAGAAATGAAGCTTCAGAAAAGAAGCCCCCAAACAGAGCTTCAGAGGCTTTTTTTTCTGAAGTTCTGTTTCGGAGGCTTTCAGAGGCAGGAAAAAAAGTTTTTTCTGAAACGGAGTTTCAGAAGTTTCAGAGGCAGAAAAAAAAAGCAAAAAAAAAAAAAAAAAGCAAGGCACAGAGCTCACAACCAAGGAACCTGTTGCTAAAATTCACCTCTGGGAACAGCTGATTGGGGGGTATTCCAGAGGCCGATCCACCTGCCAATCAGCTTTTTTCTTATTTTCCTCCCCAAAAACTAAGGTGCATCTTATACTATGGTGCGTCTTATACTCCAAAAAATATGGTATATCAAAGAGGTTTTCAAACTTGGCAGCTTTAAGACTTGTGGACTTCCACTCCCAGAATTCTCCAGCCAGCATAGCCACAAGTCCACAAGTCTTAAAGCTGCCAAGTTTGAAGACCTCTGGCTGATATCCTTGCTTGTACTCCAGCAAATGGAGATTCCACTGTCTCCTATTCTACTAGCAGAAGTACTGACAACTCACAGTTCACAAGTAGCTCCCTAGCTGCTATAAGAGTGTTTTTCAAC